GTAGCGCTCTGTACTTCCACCAGGCCCGGCTTGGGGCGGGGTTCCGGATCGTCGGTGACGACGTTCACATAGCCGTACAACCCATTTTCCTTATCTCGGGAAGAACAGCTCCGTCCGAGGGCTTCGGTACGGTCGTTGAACAGAGAGGAACAGTCGAAACTGACTTGCTTCGGTTTTGGGGAGTACGTAGGACCAGGACCCTTCCTACGACAGAGTTGGCAGGGCGTACTTCTCTCGAGGTTCTTTAAGCGTAGCTGATCCGCATCCTTCTCGTAGAGGTCCGAAATCATTTTAGCTAGTAATTCCTTCAACCGCGAATCAGCGGGAGCAACAACGCGATCGAGTAAGTCCTTGGTCCTGGTTAGAAGGTCTTGGAGCTCAGTGGGGGTCGGGGAGTTATCTTTCCTCTCTTCTTCTTGTGATCCTTCGTCAATACACCCTTCACACCAGCCACCTCCACTTGAAGCTTCAGTCTTTACGAGAAGGTATACTGCTCGCCGCACCACGGCACGCCAAGGGTTAGGCACCATACCTCGAGTGTCCAGCAAACCGTGCTCGGTTTCACTGAGGTCAGAGGGCCTCTCTGGAGAGCTTCCCAGGGCCAGCGCGATATTATCTTTCACTACGGAGGGGCCCACGGGACACACTTCTCCCGGCAGAGGAGGTATGGTCAGCTTCGGGAAGTGCACTATCGGCTTGGGCACATCCTGCCACAAGAACATCTTCGTCGAGGTCCCGCCCCCTTCGTCTCGGTAATCTGAGTCGTCCGAAGTCACAGAGTTGATCCGGACCGGCGATTCCTCTTTGAAGTTACGGTTGGCGCGCTTTGCTTCTCCGGACGAGGCCAGCGTCTTTTGGAACCATTCCAACCAGTACTCCGGAGTAGATAGCCGACCGGGGGAAGAATCTCGGGTCCTCGATAGTTTCTCTTCGTGGATGTCAAGCAGGACACTCAATTCGGCAAGCGATAACTCCTTCGATTGTTCCACATTTTCGACCAACCGGCGCTTTAGTTCTACCTCATCGAGAGGGAACAGTCGGTCTTCGAGTTCTTTGTCATACTCTTCTTTCTCTTCTGCCAGCTCGGAAGGCTTCCCTTCTTCCAAAGTATCTCGTTCTTCTTTGGTGAACACCCTCGCGAAGGAAGGCTCCTTCTCTGGTTCATCCTTTGGTGACTTAGTACTGGCGACGTCCTCCGAGTCCTTTTCGGAGGCGTCGTTTCTTCCGGGAACGGCCACGTCTTCCTCTCGCTCACGTGGTTCCTTCGAGACTGGGACACTAGTTTATGTAGCTCCACACTCTTCTAGGGGTGGGCTTTCGAGTACCTCCGTCACGTCTTGGGGTAACTCCTCCTGTAGAGGGTGGTCATTGTACTCACCCTTCCCCTCGTCTTGATCTAGCACGCTCGAAACCACACTCTTGTGGTTGGTTGACGTCGACGGGTAGTCTCGTTCCGCCGAGGTCGCGGCTCTTCCGCTTCACCTTCCTTGGTTAGTTCCTCGTCCACTGCTTCGATTTCACTCTCTTGGTCATCTCTCGTAACCACTCCTTGGTTCGCACTGGAGCGTTCGTCAATGTTCGCGGCTATCAAGGGACCGTTCCATACGGGTCCCGAGCCTACCTTCGTCACAAACGCTTCTTGCTCCATCCTCAAACTGCCGACTGCATTTGGGACCACCGACACCCTGTTCCACACGGGCGCCGTATATCCGTCATCCACAAGCGGCAGTAGCTCTTCAGTTCTCGTCATATGTTCGTTGCTCACAGTCGTTTCATTTCTTTCCAGTAAGGCGGAACTCATCCCACCTCCAACGGGACACACTTCATACCTCTCGGTCGACTCCCCCGTGGAGTTCAAAGTGTTCCCATTTGTGTCGATCCATAGACAAGAGGAAGGATCGACACTCCCTCCCCCTCCCTCTCGCCCCCATCATTGCTGGTTGGGCGCTTGTCCTAGGACAGGTCCCGCCGTTGCCCCTGCCGGACCGCCGAGTCTCTTCAGTGACGTCTTTAGAGGGCACTCCGCCAGCATGTGACCCGATTCATCACACAGGAAGCACTTGCGACTGTTCCTCGGCTGAGTGCTCCGAAATCCGCTAGGAGGGCCACGCTCACACTCAGGACCGATGTGGCCCACTTCCTTTCAGTGAGGACAGGTGGCTTTGCCGCGACGACAGTGAATTCGACTACACCCCAGAGTGTGACATAACCGCTCACGAGAAGACCATTTTGAGTGCGCAAGTCCGGACCCACACGAACACCCCTGATAGGCGTAATAGGAAGCGTTCCGGTAGGTTGATAGTGCAGGGAGGCGCTCGGATCAGGAGGAGAGTAGACAGCAGCCACATTCATCGCCGGGGGGCATAGACGGCTGTCAAGGGACGCTCCATCAACTGCTACTGTTGTTGGAGCTGCTTCTGTTGCTGCTGAGCGAGTAGATTCTGCGTCTGCTGCATCATGTTCATTATGCGTTCGAGGACAGCGTTCTCTTGGGAAGCTCCAGGGGACGGCACATTGCCGAACTCGGAGTCATCTTCAACCGGACGATGCATATTCTTGAGGAGCAACATGGCCACAGCCGCAGGGATGGAGTCAATCATGGTCGTGGTGAGAACGTTCCTCCAATCTCGATTCCGAAGTCCGGACAGAAAGTACTGGTAACGCATTTGAGGATCGTAGCACTGTGCATCGTCGCAGAGGCTCGAAATCATGTCACCCCACACTTCGGCGGACATCCCCGGGATCGCTTAGGGTTCTTAAGGCTCTCGATCAGTTGCAACGGAGTTTGACTGATGAACTGGTTGTGGAACCGAGTTCTCAGGGCCTCGAAGCTGCTGATACGCGAGTACACCCACCAATCGTCGCCAACCTTGCCCTTCAAGCACTCTCGGAAAGCGCTGAGTCGCAGAGGCTCATCCAACCCGATAGTGGCGCTCTCGAAGGCCTCCCAGAATGATCGAGCCTTTTCCACCGACGCTCCCTCCGAGTAGAACGGTTGGAGCATACGGATAGCGTTCCAGATGTTAGTGGGCATACCATACTGGCCACTAGTCGTCGAAGGCGTATTACCATACGTAGGCGAAGCGTAGTAGAAGTTACCTCCATCTCCCCCATACGCAAGACCTTGATGGGTTCCGGCAGAGGCCGTAGTTCCTCCATTTCCTCGTGAAGCTCCGGCGGATCCCGAAGGGTCGACTCCGTACGCGATTCCACCGGTAGTCGAAGTTCAAGACCCCGGGTCTTGCGTAATAATTCGAACGGTAGGCGCTGGGGCTTGACAGGGAACACTCTGAGGTGCGGGAACCGTTACTGCTGGGGCGCTCCCCGCGCCACCTCGCAAGCCACCAGAGGGTTGGAGACCCCAAGGAGGAGCGTAAGAGGTCCTCGGAGGAATATTCGCCGGGGAAGCACGTCCACTGTTCTCAGGAACAGTCGGTAGAGAGAAGAACGGGTTGAAATCCTGCCCATACGTCGTAGTTGGGATTCGGATTGTGAAACCTTGGTACGACGGGATTGCAGTTCTTACTCGGGTCGTAGGAGGGGGAGTCCTCACGAGACTGTTCTCTCCATAGCGGCCGCAATCTCAGGAGAAGCCACGGACCTCAACCAGTTGAGGGACTTGAGCCAGCCTTGCACCGTACATCGGCCGCCTTCGCCGTCCAGGGTCAGCATCGGGCCCAATTCTTCCGTAGTGAAGGTCGCAGGGACCCCGGAGCCTAAAGCGTCCGCGGGTGGCTCGACACCAGTACTAGAGCTGTTCCCTCCAAGCCGGTTAGCGGCTTGGTCCACGATGTTCTGCACGTTTTGGAGGCCTTGCGTAGTCGACAGACTGGTTCGCATCCTCGAAGGTAGGCTCCCAGTCTGACCTTCTTCTTCTCGGATGGTGGCGCTCACATCTTCTCTGGTGCTAGTAGACGACATCTCGTCCTTCCTTCTAACGTTCTCCGCGAGTCTTCACTTTAAACAAGACCTTCTCCAGCAAGCCGACTACCCTGCTTCTCCACCAGATGTCGTATACCTCCTCTTCCTTCAAGGGTCGGGTAGTCCGCGGCTGTTCAGGGAGTACGGTCTTGCTCAGTGGCTGTAGGAACGGTAGATATGAATGCTTGTAAGATGTAATAGAAGTTTGTTTATTGGCTTGGCTTCCTCTTGAGTAGAAGGAGGAAAATATAAGACTGAGAGCTAATTGGAAGAGAGGTCTAACACCTTCTCGACCATACATACACTACACTACTTCTCTTATACTAAAAAGAAGAATTCACTTCGTTTGTCGACATCCTCGTGGGACAACGGGTAGTTCTGGGAAGGGTCTTGATGACGCGAGGTGCTTTGGTCCCACGACGCCAAGACACCGGCGTTCTGATACCACCTAATAGGACCACCCTAACGGGCTCAGTCAGGGGCACGTGCGTCGTCGGAGTCAACGGAAACCATCCTGACGGGACGGCCAGGCGAGGAGTAACTACAGGGCCTCGGGTCATCCCGCCGGGAGGCACGGCTCCTGGAATGACCCCTCCGTTCCCGGGTACGATACATTTCGGTATCGGTTTCCTGCTAGAGGTGCCTCTTGAATGTCCGTTACTACGATCATTCACTCTCAGAACACTTACATCAATCGAACACGCATCAACGGAACTGAGACTATGTTCGAACCATATCTGACTCTCAGTATGCGTTTTACGATAATGAATGATAATATCAAGGCCGTTTGGTCTGGAGCGCTTAATCGCGCTGATTATTTTTATGTGCGTTTTGTACGTGGTCTCGACCAAAGTTATGTCAGTCAAGTAATCTGAAACGGAGTACAAAATATGCCTTTTTAATAGAATCCCATTACGGTCGGTACATACCAATTATAAAAATACCGGAGCTTTGAGACTCAACATGGTGTGGTCCACAATACAACTTCAACTTTCACATTTGGCTCGGTAGCTGCTACGAATAGCAGCAAACACAATCGTTTTCTGCTGCTATCGGTACTGCCTGAACTTATTGCTGCCATGGTCCATCGACCCCGTGTGGTCCTGTATGATGCAACGAATGGGGATCACACGGCTTCTGGCTATGTGGACCCTATCTCGCCTACTGAGAGCGAGGGCGAGGAGGTTTACAACCCCATCACAGGCATGTTCGAGCGCGTGGGGTTGTCGCGATACTCCAAGTCAGGATTCCGTAACCAGATAAACCAGTATGCTTTCCAAACGACACCTCCACAGCCCGAGGTTATCTACCCAGATCGTGTCCGCAGATGCGCGTTCTTGCGGGAACCAACGACACAGATTATGCTAGGTGCCATTGCTGGTCTGCTACTGGGTATGATTCTAGCCAACCTGGACGTCTCGGACAATGTCGGCACTCTCGTAAATTTGCCGGGAAAAGTGTTTCTCCAGGTCCTCAAGTGCTTCGTGATCCCCATGGTATTCACAAGTTTGTCCACAACTGTTGCTGACATCGTACTGCTCGGAAAAGTATCAATCGTCGGTACTCGCACAGCTTTGATATTCACGGGCTTGTCTTTCACAGGATCGGCGCTGTCACTCTCGATCTCAATGCTTTTGCGTGATCTTGTGCCACACACGAAGGGCGTAGTCGCGGAGACTTCATCGGCTTTCTTCAGTATTTTGTGCGAGAATGGTAATTTCTTCACGTACAACTACACAGGCGCAGCCTTGTGTTCTGCGACTTCGCAGGACGGCACGACGCGGTTCGAGTTTTTCGACCCCACGAGGGTCCTTCTGAATGATGGCACAGCTAGTACCGCAGCTACCGTGTCGATGCAAATCACGGATATCCTGAACCAGCTCGTTCCGTCCAATATTTTCTCGAGTTTTGAGCAAGATCTGATACTGAGTGTAACCACGTTCGCCATCGCCTTCGGAGCTGCTGCAGTCAAAACTAGTTCTCGCGAGAGCAGCCCCTTACTTGACGTACTCAAGCAAATGAACAAGGTGTTCTTTCGAGTGATTAGTAAGGCAATCGACTGGAGCCCGCTTGCCGTGATGTCACTCGTGGCCGGCTCGTTATCAGGACAAGAAATGCTGGGCGAAGCTGCACGACACGTGGGTATACTTGTGCTGTGCACGGTCCTCTCGATAGTGATCTTTGAGCTGGTTTTCTTCCCCATCTTGTTGTGGGTGACGCTGCGGAAGAATCCTTTCCCATACATGCGCGCCATGCTCCCAGCAGCGATGTTTGCACTGGGTTCATCGTCATCACTCGTGACACTGCCAGTGACTCTGCGGTGTGTAGAGTCCACTCGCGAGGTTCCTCGTAGCCTTGTGCAGTTTGTGGTCACCATCGGCTGCATACTTCACAAGAACGGATCGGCCATTTATTTTCCATGCGCCTTAGTTTTCTTGGTCTCCACAAGCGAGAGTGCAGTGTCGTTGGGTTGGCTGCAGCTTGTTCTCATTTTGCTCTTGTCAGTGCTAGGCTCTATGGGCACGGCACCCATTCCAAATTCAAGCGTCGTCATGATCTACTCCATCTGGACGACGATTTACCCCAGCGACGAAGTTCCCGCGAGCTACAGCTACTTAGTGGCCATCAGCTGGCTCCTCGGGAGACTAGTGACTGTGTGCAATATTGTTGGCGACGGATACGTGGCTCGCATAATCGCCGAGCAAATTGAAGACGAAGATGTCGACGACTGCGAGATGCAGTGAGTAAACTTCCGGTAAATAAGTACTTCGAAGTAACATCAGAATCTGAAACTCGGATTCAGACGAATTGATTGCCTTATCGCATTCACGCATCAATGGGAGGCCTTCAGGACTCCAACGTGCCTGATAGAAAACCCTGAAGTCCCGTAATGCCTTCATCTTACACAAAACTGTCTGTACCAATCTCGGCCATTCCGCACAGTGCTGCCACACTAGGTGAGCTTGAATCTCACATATACATGTATGTCAGCAAGTCACGGGTACGCCTTTGGTGCATGAGTGGTCACGTGAATTCACTTCTCTCACGTTTGTGAGCGTCAACGAATGGATGCTTTACTGCAGGACGTAGGATACTGTACGTGCTAGGTCCAGTAGCTGGACCAGCTGTAGCCATTGTTACCGATTGGTCGAAAAGACTTAAAAAACGCTGATTGGCTATGTGGGGTACAGCTCACAGCCCAGTGCAAAAGTCCACGCGTCGGGCTTGAGACTTCTAGTAAGCATGCCTTGCTTCCTGACCGAGTGTGACCCCATGGAGGAGGCCAAGCGCTTCGGCATGGCCATGGCAGGCCTGTACGTGTACCATTTTGTGATGGACACGGTGTTCATTCGTCCGACAGTGCGCTACATGATGCGCAAGGGCTGGCTGACCAAGGACAAGGAGGACAAGATGCGCGAGTCTTTGTACAAGAATGCCGCCGTCGGCGCATTCCACATATTCGGGCATTTTGTCGGCTGGAACGAGTCGTGGTTTCTCAACAAGGAGGAGTACTTCAAGGACTTCCCGTATGTGGCCAACGAGGCCCAGCGCTGGTACTACATGATTTACCTGAGCTTCTGGTTCCAGAGCATCGACTTCATGCTCAACGTCACCAACAAGCACTACACGGTCAAGCGCAAGGATAACGCCGAGATGCTCGTGCACCACTTTGCCACTATCTCGCTTATGCTTTTCTCGTACTACGTCGATCTTACCAAGATCGGCATTTGTGTGCTCATGATTCACGACGTCAATGACCTGCTGCTTGAGACCGGTGCGCACGCGGATTTGAGAATGCCCTGTGAGTGGTGGGCTGACTGATGCTTGTTTCTTTTTGTTGTAATAGCCAAGGTGTTTGTTTTATCTGCAGTGGGAGACAGTAGCGAACGTTTTCTTTCTGCCTATTCGCGCTCGTATGGTTCCTGGTGCGCTGGTTTTTCTACTCGTACAACATCCTGCACAGCGCGTACTCATTCGCCTACCAGGACATCATCGCACCGATCACATAGGCCGGGCAGCTTCCATGGCATCAGTGCCCCTGTGTGGAATTTGGGCCTGGGGTTAATCCACTTTCGGCTTTCTTGTGTCTGGCTGTTGGGGCTCCACATCTACTGGGGGGGTTTTTGATTCGTTCAAGATGGTGATCAAGGCGCTGGGGCCACCCGGAAATTTAAAAAAAAAAACTCCCCCAACCAACTCGGAAGGCCAAGAAAGGAACAAGCCCGTCCTATAAAAAATCCAAAAAAATTCACCC